AACACATGCCATATTTAAACATGATGGTATGCCGTTTAAACAGGGCACCAATAGCAAAGCAGACAGTTGTACTTTTTATTACTATGTTAATAACTGCGTATAGTTTTTGGTTGATTAAAAAATACACTCATATAATATGTTTCAACGACTTGGAATTATAGGTAATCCAGAGCATAGATTACAACCATAACCATTACATACAATGTGTTAGCGGCGATGGATGCCAAAAAGAGGTACTTAAGCGGATTCCAGAAAAGAAAAAGAAAAGAAGAGCTGCTGGAAGGAAGGAAAACGGGGGGTGGGAGGATGTGATGGGGTGCTTGCTTAGGGGCCTATTGCTGTGTTGTTATGCCATTATTCTTTGACATGCTGTTAAATTTTCTGCTATTAGATAAGGTTAAATATTTTTTATTTGGCATTCCCTGGGTTTTATCAAGATTATAGATACAAGGCGGAGTTAACAAAATTATGATTGGCATTATAAATCTGACAAGCATGCACTGTAAGTGTCTTCAGAAATCATTTATTTCAATCAATAAATTTATTGCTTTTGTAGTTGGAAAAAAAATATTAAACTATTCACTCTAGTCAAATAAATGGAGATGGATTTCACCCAGTCGGTACATTTATTCATATCTTTGCAAAGAGAGAACAGTTCATCATACAGCCCTTATGGCAGCATTCTGCCCTGTTCTCCCTGAGCAGTGTTCGTTCCCCCTTAAATTAGAGACACTTTGGTTAAGAGTAACATGTTATAAATAAACCTTGAGAAAGAATCTGGTTTGTTAAGGGAAGAAGCTATGTCTGGTCTACAAATACCCCTCACCAGGGAACGGTGCGGACTGAAGGTGAAACAGGCTGAGTCAAAACTTTTATAGTGAGTAAACAGGATAAATTAATATATACCGTAATAGAAGAGAAAGTCTAAATTTTCTGACAACACTTGTAAAAAGAACACAACAATACTGTCTACCAGCTTTAACATACAGAACTGTTCTCCAACATGTGGCATGTATTCCTCCAGCCATTTAAAATTCCTAAATTGTCTTTTGTCTGTGATTGAACTTTTAGGGCCAATACAAGTTTAAGTGTCCAGCTCTAAAGGATGGCACCGTGCAGCAGTGTGGTGCTGTGTGGTCTTATCAGGAAGTTCGCCGCCTTGCGGTCCTAACCCCTGAAGAAATGCAGCACTTTGAAGAAAATATGGGCCGCCTGGCAGCTGCAGAGTACTGTGATTTTAAAACGGTGCCAGGACAACTGAAGATAACTTCATCATACATGATTCTGCAGATTTCTTGCAAAGTACTAAGATCCTCTTTTCTTTTATGTCGTTTCTTTTCTCTAACAGTGTCCTGGATGTAAGACCTATGTTGAGAGGTCGGACCTGACCAACCTCTGTGTCGAGTGTTTGGTGTGTGCAGAAGATAATGATGATGAGTTCCAGTTCTGCTGGCAGTGCTCAAAGCCTTGGAAAGGTCCAGCTCCTCGTTCTGACCGTTGTGGCAATGATGGCTGCATCAACCATGACCTGGAACTGCTCAGGACCTGCAAGACCACCGCTCTCCCTCAGGTTCAGGGGGTCGATGCCTGTCCCTCCATCCGGGCCTGTCCCACCTGTGGTCAGAGGGTGGAGCACGACAAGACAGGCTGCAAGAACATCATCTGTCCTCGCTGCCAGGTGGAGTTCTGCTTTGTGTGTCTGAAGCTCACTCCTGAGTGTCTGCAGACCAGTTCCTACTTCATCCCCTGTAGTGATGGTGTGGCTCCCAGACAGACATCCATACCTGTGTGGCGCAGAAACTGAGGATGAACTAATTTTCTCACTATAGTAATTTTTTGGCAAATTAAATAGTAGGATTAATCATGCCTCAGTTCTTCTTCATATTCAACAAAATGTTATTTTTTTCTGTGCTTAGAAATAAAACAAGTATCAAATGTTCAAGTCATCTCAAAGTTTCCTTTTTAAAATTAATGAAGTTAATATAAAAAAAACCTTTTTAGTTGTTGCATGGTTAAAATTTGTGCGCTTCAATTTATAATTTGTCTGNGCACTAAAAAAATATCCGCCCGACCCATTGATTTTTATTTATGTATTTTTCACCCGCAAAAGAGCATTTTTGCAGGTGACCCGTCGGACCCGTTGCAGGACTCTACCGAGACATATGTGCCTGCTTTGCACACTGTGCACAAGGCCTCCCATTTGTCTCGATCCAGTCTGAAAGCGGGGAAACTCTTTTGTAAATCGTTGGTAAACATACATTTGTGCCTTTGCATGTTGTTGGCTTACTGACAGCCACGCTATCTATATTCTGATTAAGAACAGGGCTGCCCGCACTGGCGCGGCTCAGGGGTGATGTCACACGCAGCGTCATGCGCAGTGCCCTAGCGTCTGTAAATTTAATGGTCCAATGAAGGTAATTTAAAAAAACAGGACATTTCCTCACTTTCTAAAAAAAAACCGGGACGCCCAGGACAGGACGTGAAATACGAACATGTCCTGGGAAATAAGGACGTTTGGTCACCCTAGTATCTTCTACTTGGTGCTTTGTCCAGACCAGTCAAGTAAGTTGTGTCAAAGCAAGGTGAGCAATCAAGTAAACCTAGTTTATTTCAGCAACTCATTAATTTTTAACCATCACTCTTTTTATCGCATGTTCCTGTTCGGTGAAACGTTCAGTGTTCGTAAGGCTAGGCTATTTAACTTCTGAATGTTAGCTGTTAAGCAAATCTCTGTTTTAGTTTTACTGTTGTCGATTTCACCAGTGAACATTCAAAGAATCACGTTTTTAAAGTTATTGTTATGTTCCTCTGTTTCCTTTTGTTTCATGTAATTAGCCTATAGCCTACAGGGGACTTGAATCTCATTGTCAATATGTCTGCTGCTGCTGCAGCACAACAGGTGACCTTCTCCACCACTTTTAGTAGGCTAGTTTTGGCTCATACTAGTGTTGGCCGTTTTAATTTACTTTTTCTTAGAAATGTACCTAAATAACCTTCTACTGTTGACTGTATGTAGCCTAAGCAATATCAGTGTTGCGAGTAATGCAGTTAAAAAATAATTTAATTAGGCTACAGTACTGCATTGCTTTTTGCAGTAAGGCAGCAATGTAAGGCATTACAATACAATTTCAGTAATATTTTACTCGGTACAACTCTCAATTACTTAAGTTACTTTGCTTATTTTGTTACTTTGATGTTTTTCCAGATAGTGTACAAGTGGAGGGATAGAAGAAAAAGGCTCTTAGTGTCAAGTATTAATGTGGTTTCTTGTGCAATTCCCCACTTGAAAAGGATAGTCCTCTACATTCCAACTGGATTTCACTCAATGAACAGCCATTTGATAGTCATTTCATTATTTATTTATTGAAAATTGGCAGTAGGCAGGTGAAAAACCTCAAAAAGAGAAGGGTTAGGGTCATTTAAGAC